GTGTTTGTTTGTTTACCTGTCTTATCAATGATATTTACTGTGGATGTTTATCATTTGTATATAAGAAGCTGGAATGACATTAAGAACATACACATCTGATAAATAAATGACACTCTTAAATCAATATTTTATTTCATTTCATTTATTAGATTTATTTGCCGCCCATTTTGTTTTGAACATTTGCTTTCTTGTAAGAAGCATTCAGCTTCATCTAGTTTATTTGTCCTTCTCTAAGCATTAGCATATTGACAGCGATGGCCCTGAAGTTTATACCTTTCAACAAATTTCAGTGCAGTCCCTACCAGCGTAACCGGAGAGGTACATTTTCCGTCTTTCACTTATTTGAGCCCACGGTTTTGCAAAAAAGCACTTTCCGATTTCAGCATAATTTCCATTAAATGACCCTTTTGAAACAGAAAAGATATATAAAAATGGAGTCAATATGTGACTGTAAAGATTGCAGGTTTCCCACTGAAGTGGTACCCATTTATCTACTTGCAATGTTGTACACTTTTTGAATGGCTGGGTGTGAAGGAGCTAGGGATCTAGTTATGGGATCTCACTGCCTCACAGAGCTGGGCTCTAACCACCGGAATGCAGGCCATTTCTGGCCAGCAGTTCCAGTGTCATTAAACCACTGTGCCACCCCATCCACTTTTCTCAGAAAATCTGTAGTCTTGTAAAGCAAGCTTCATGTCTCTACAGGAACTGACAATACCTCACTGACACTTGCTTATCCCTCCAAAAATGGGATGGAAAGTGACAAAGAAATAACATAGACTAGATTTCGAATAATGATAATGTTGAAAGTATTGGTATGCAATGTGCCATCCTTTTTAATTTATATATGTATTAATTGTGTTGTTACTAGTTTCTAGTTACTAATTTCTTTACCTGAAATTAGGTAGTCATCTTCTTGGAAAGGGCCCTTATGTTTATATCCACAGTCAAACACTGATTCTGGCGAGTAGAGAATCTGTGCATTTGCTGCTCTCCCTGAACCCTTGAATACCTCCAGAAAGAAAAATAATTCAGTATTTGATAAGGGCAAGAGTAGGGCAGGAGAATTTGTCATGAGAGGAACAATATCCCTTCACAAAAGATTGAATATCTGCCAATTTGCTCTTTGTCATATGTTTCAGGAAGATGAGAGGCTTACCTGAATAACCCGAACAGAAAATTTATTCATCTGCAAATACGAAGGAGAGTCAGGATCCCGCTGGACACCCAAAAATAGGACTCTCATCACTAGAGAAGGAAGGAGAGAGAGAGGGTGTGAGAGAGATTTTCCCGTAAGCGGTTTTAAATTGCAGATTTTTCAATACAGAACAAACTCATTGGTGCTGGTTAGTCTTATTCACAAAGGATTCTGAAATAAGCCATATACAGTATTCGGCTTTCATGACAGGAATGGTTTTGCTACAACTGGAAGGATTAATGCTGGCAGCAAAACCTACAAAGTAGAGAAATGGGGAGTGGTAAGGGATGGGAGAAATATATTCATTTTCAAAACTCACCAAAGTTATGTTCGCAACATGCTTTCCGGATACTTGGTCGCTTACATTGGCAGGTCTCAGTGAGATCCCCCAAGAGCATGAAGACAAGGAAGCTGGCTAGGAAAAATATATATGGTTTTGTAGTATCCATTTCTGGCTTTGCATGAAGCCTCTCGCTGAGGACAGAGGTAATGTTTCCTTTCTGCAGCAGTCTTTCTGGAAGAGCGTTGAATGAGAGAGCACCAGCTAAAGATTAAAGACAAATTGTGACCATTGTGTCCTGTAATTGTGACAATTGTATCCTACAGTTGGTCATAGAACAGGATGATTCAAGTACTGAAATATAAGCTTTTTTTCAAAGTGTCTGAAGGCAGGACAAGAAGCAACAGATGGAAACTAACGAAGAAGAGACGCAACCTAGAACTAAGGAGAAACTTCCTGACAGTTAGAACAATTAACCAGTGGAACAACCTGCCTCCAGAAGCGGTGAATGCTCCAACACTGGAAGCTTTTAAGAAGAGACTGGACAGCCATTTTCCGAAATGGTATAGGGAAGGTCATGGGTGTTTCATCCTGTGGAAAAACTTCAGATTTTAAGCTTGGGTCCTACCTGTCTTGCCCACTACACCAAACTGGCACCCCTAGAGAGTTTGCTACAAAAGGTATTGGCTGTTTTTTCCTCACCTTATTCTCTGTTGCTCCTGGGTCCTTCTCCAGAAGCAAACTTTGTTCCCTAGTGTATTCTCCTGGTATTTAAAGCTTCCCCTCACCCCTTCTCCCAAATTTTCTCTTGCCTTCATCTTAATGGTTGCCATTCAAACTGGCCACACTTGATTTCTCAAAGAACTGGCAGCATAATATGTCCCCATTTGGTTTGCTGCATACATTAGATTTCTGGAAGAGAGGTTTGGACACAGCATATCTTACGTTATCTGACCATAAAAATTAGCCATTTGTGTTTCTGGCATCAGCTCTCCTCTTCAAGTAATTAATGGGAGAGGATGAGGAAAAAATATCTCTGCTAGAGAGAAGTTCCCTGAGTCCAAAAGCTTGGAAGATTAACCCTCTGCTCTCAGTGACTGAGCCAGGTGGGATCCTGCAACATTATCCTGGGACACGTATATTCATCTTCATTCGAAAAAATAACTGTCCAAGACTTTTTCAGACTTCATGATATAGGGATCTTGGCTGCCAAACCTATTTGTTTATTAACAGATGAGCAGTTATGCTTTAATCCCAAATCATATGAGAAACTCAAGTTATGGAATAACCAGATTTGAAAATGACAGAGAGGTTTTGCTAGAAATCTTGGCCTAAATAAGAGATCAAAATCAGTTGATTTCAAATGTTTTAACAGTTTGAGTGATTCTGAGTTGAATATTATCTACTGTACAATCTTTGCTTGGCTAGATATACAGCTGAAACATAAGCATTGAACAGTATGGCCCAGATCTTTTAATAGCCACCTGCAACTTTAGAAGCTTTAAGAAAATTTAAAAAGACATAGATGGTCAATTATTTTCATGCTGGTGTTGTAATAAATCAGGTAACTAATTCACTAAAGTTCCTTAAAAAAGGCTCTGTACCCAAGGCTGGACAATTGCAAGAGGAGGCTACTATTAGATTTGAGATCCCGGTGGATTATATTCTTAGCATGAAGGTAAGTGGGGGGGAAAGATAATGAGTTATGACTATGTTTTCTTTACATAATCATTCTTAGGTGTGCCGCTCATTTCTCTGTGTGCTTGGCCTGCATCTCTGTTGGGGAATAGATTATATGGAGTAAGCGGTTCTTTTTCTTGTTGATTTATGCACCTCACCATTCTCTGTTGTGTCAGATCGATTTCTCAGAGTTCAGATCCCATGAATATAAACGTGGTTCCCAGGTTATGTCTTCTTGTTCAGCAACTGTTTAAACTTGTGGCAGCATTGGGCAAAGGGTCCTGGTGATGGGTCTTTAGTATTCCAGCCATTGCAATGTCCCAGCGGTCATGACATATTAGCAGAAGAATCCTTTTGCTACCTATCCTTGTATTCAGTTCTCTCTCCTTAGAAGCCTTGGTGCGCAGGTTCCATATTTCCTTCAGAAAGGCAGCTCAGTTGCTTATTGAATGTTTGCACTGAATTGCACTGCTGAATTTTCATTGGACCTTGGATCCCCTTGTAGACATTCTTCAGATGTTCCAATGTTACAGTAGATACAGAAAAAGAGATCTCCCTTTCTTTGCTGCCAATAGCTGGGACACAATAACACATGGAAGGAGACTGCGATACGCCCCCTCTTTAAGAGCCACAGCCCACATCTGGCCCATTGGAAGACCACCCCTTTCAAAGCCTTCCTTTTGGTGAGAAGATACTGACAAGGCAACCACAAAACTGTGGAGAAACTGCGATTTTGGGAGGGTCCCTTTCAGTCAGGATTTATTCCCAGGCCGGGGACAGAAACAACATTGGTTATATAGTTAATGATCTTTTCCAGAACTTTGTTTGGCGTAGTTCCCCACTTCTAGTTCTGTTGTACTACTCATTAGCTTGGCTTATTATCAGCCTGCTATCCTTTAGATCACCTGCAAAGTTTGGGGACTGTTTTATGATAATTTAACTCCTTTCTTAGGCAGTTGCCATGTGTTCAATGCCCTGCACAAGTTACTAATTGTTGTGTCCTGGGCCTGATGAGGAAACTCAGCAGGCCCAGAATTGTTGCAAATGTTCCCAGGCATTCTAAAAGCTGCCCGGGACCAGACAGAGAGGCACCAGCCTTGTGCGCATGCGCAAGGCGTGAAAAAGGAAGAACTCTTATTTGTTCACTCTGTTCTGGTTTCAAGCCCTATAAAAAGGCCTGCGTCACTTTTGCTTGTTGCTTGGAGTTGGAGTAGGAGAATAAAGCATTGTTAGTTGTCACCATGTGTCTTCATCATTCGCATGCGAACTACGGATTTAACACTAATAATTTTCTGAGTGAAAATCCAAGGGTTGGTTTTGTCTAATAAAGCCCCACATGGCTTGCACTACATTGTCTTTAGGACCAGCTTCTCCAACCAGGATTGACATCTACAATACATAGATCATAATCACAGCAATCCCAGATTTCTATGAAGTAAATGGGACTGAGGGGAGATTAGGAGATTATGTCTTTCCATCACAGCACCAATCCTAGGGAACAGCTTCCCTTTGGTGAAAAGATGGTTTCTCCTACTTAACCCTTGCAGAAAGTGATAAAACTGAGCTGTTCCATAATTGAATGGCACCTTGCTATTCAATTAACTTGTGAGTTGTTGGGAAGTTATCACAGTATTACTGTATTTCAGAAAACTGTTTTTAAGAGAGTAAATTGTACAGTGTTTGTTTGTTTACCTGTCTTATGAATAATATTTACTGTGGATGTTTTATCATTTGTATATAAGAAGCTGGAGCGACATTAAGGACATATATATCTGATAAATAAATGACACTCTTAAATCAATATTTTTTTTCATTTCATTTATTAGATTTATTTGCCGCCTATCTTGTTTTGAACATTTGCTTTCATCTGGTTTATTGTCTTCCTCCATGCATTTGTACGTTGACAGTGAAGGCCATGAAGTTTATAAGTTTGCACAACTTGTACTGCAGTCCTTGTTCAGTTTTTTTTTCTTTTTAGAATTTACTTTATTCCATGGTTTTGCAAAATTGCACATTGAGATTATAGAGCGATTGTCAAAAATTGACCCTTTTGAAATAAAAAAGGTAAAGGTGGTGTCAATATGTAACTGTAAAGGTTTGTTGACATCCCTAACCTTAACCCTCGAAAATTTTTGGATGTTTGCTCTACATATTAAGTAAGGAATAATGTCAGTTCCATTTAAGCCAGCTTTCTCCTTTTCTCAACATTTATTATTTGTTTAGCCTATGGCATACAATATCAGGGAAATCTACACATGCTAGACCCAATGTAGTCTTGGCAGTTTAGATTGCTAGTTCATCTATTCAATGCTTGAGTGCATATCCTTGGTACACCTTGGGGGCAAACTAGCTTTACACCAGCTAACTAGCACTGATCAGTTTGCTGGCTCATCCGGATGCATCCGCTGGTCTCACTTCGCCTCATCTCATGTCGTGATGCGTCACATCTGGGCAGGTCCAACACCGGCTTCGACTCTTTGCACACACGAATGCAGCTTTCCCACTGAAGTGGTACCCATTTATCTACTTGTAATATTGTATGCTTTGAAACTGCTGAATGGGCAGGAGCTCGCAATCTAGTTATGGGATCTCAATCTGTCTCAAGGAGCCAGGCTCAAACCACCGGAGTGCAGACCATTTCTGGCCAGCAGTTCCAGTGTCATTAAGCCACTGCACTACTGCATTCCCTTTTCTCACCAAATTTATAGTCTTGTAAAGCAAGCATCCTATGTCTATGGGAACTGACAATACCTCACCGATATCGGCTTATCCCTCCAAAAATAAGACGGAAAGTAACCAAGAAATAATATCAACTAGGAATAATGGTAATGTTGAAAATATTGGTTTGCAATGTGCCATTCTGTTTAATTTATCTATGTATTAATTGTGTTGTTACTAGATAATTGCTATTCTCTACCTGAAAATACATAGTCATCTCCTTTGAGAGGGCCTTTGTGTACATATCCATAGTATTCACGTGAGATTGGGCTGTAGAGGAACTGTGCTCTTCTTAGTTCCTCTGGACCCTTGAATACCTTCAGAAAAAAAGATAATTCAGTATATGATAAAGGCAAGAGTAGATCAGGAGAATTTGTCATGAGAGGAATAATATTCCTTTACAAAAGATTGGATGCCTGCAAACTTGCTGTTCCTGATAATGTTTCAGGAGGAGGAGGGGCTTACCTTAATGGGCTGAATAGTATAGATATTTTTGGGAAAATATGATGGAGATTTAGGATCCAGCATGACACTCATAAATTTGGCCCTCATCACTAGAGAGATAACAAAAGAGAAAGAGATTTTCTAGTAAGACAGGGGTGTCAAACTGCCGGCCCACAGGCAGATTGCATCATGTGGAGATCGCGCCCACCCCAGCTCCAGTAATGCGAAAAAAAGTCACAATACATTGTGACACGTCACATGACGTGACAAGTTTGATACCCGTGTAGTAAGAGGTATCTTCAGATTCTCAGTACAGAGCAAATTCAGTGGTGCTGGTTAGTCTAATTTACAGACGCTTATGAAATAAGTAATATATTCAGCTTTCATGACATAGGAATAATTTTGCTGCAACTGGAATGATTAATGCTGGCAGCAAAACCTACAAAGTAGAGGAGTGGTAAGAGATGGAAGGGAGAAATATATTAATTTTCTATACTCACCAAAGCCAGCTGAGCAACATGCTTCCCGGAGAGATTTTTCTACACATATGCAGCTCTCTGTGAGATCCCCCAAAAACATGAGGACAAGGAAGCTGGCTAGGAAAAATCCATGTGGTTTTGTAGTATCCATTTCTTGCTTTTTATGAAGTCACTCACTTAGCACAGAGGTAAGTAATGTTTCCTTTCTGCAGCAGTCTTTCTGGAAGAGCGTTGAATGCGAAGCACCAGCTGTAGATTAAACACAAATTGTGACTCCTAGTTCAAAATTGTCCTATAATTGATCTTAGAACAGGATGATTCAAGTACTGATATAAAAGGAAGGATCATGGGTGTTTCATCATATGGGAGAAATTCAGATTTAAAGCTTTGTTCCTATGGGTGATCACTCTCTATAGGAACAAAGCAGAGCCAAAAGACCAAGTCTGAGTTATAAAGAAGAAATGTATAACAAGTTAGGCTCAAAGAAACATCAATTCTCAACAAAATCAGAGGTTCCTATGCCAGCCCAGGAAAGACAGTCATCTTCTAAATGGAGATGGGGCTACAGCATGAAGGAAGACCTTACAATAAGAATGATTATCTAGATACAGGTATTTTATTTTTGTAAGTTTCAAATCATGCCTTCTGGTGTCTGCATGTTCAATTCCATGCATTTTCTTGATAACCTTTCCCAGAAATATTTTGCTATGGACTTCTTCCTAGGTATTATTTCATTCATTCATTCATTCATTCATTCATTCATTCATTCATTCATTCATTCATGTCCAGATCAAACCTTAAACTGCCAAAATGAGGCCATCTTTTTAGCTTTATTACTGGCTGAAAACAAATCACTTTTTGTGCACTCTATTGGTAGTAATCGTCAGACTAACAAATGGGCCTGCCTCTTGTCTCCCATATTTACACTGTGTGTTCTTATCCTACTGCAATCCCCATTTGAGCATATTGGTCTTACATTTAGGCATCCCACCCTCATTCTGTTCAATGTCTTCCAAGTAACATAGAAGATATCAAATCCCTCAGTCATGTTCTCTTCTGGGATTATTTCTTGTTCTGTAAATTCTCTCCTCCATCTTCTAATTTGGTTTTTCTCCTGGGTGCCTTCAAGAATATTTGTTCTTGCCACAAAACTCTTCCTAGATCTAAATCAATGACTTCGGGGCACATATCCATTTAGAGGATGGTTGATCGGCTGGTTGATCATTTGTATATACAGTGCATTCAGAAACTATTCAGACCCCCTTCACTTTTATCAATTTTGTTATGCTGCAGCCTGATTCTACAGTTGTTGAAATTCATTTTTTTCTCATTAATCTACACTCAGTACCCATAACGACAAATTGAAAAGAGAATTTTAGAAATGTCTGTAAATTTATTAAAAAGAAAAATCTGAAATATCACATTGGCATAAGTATTCAGATCCTTTACTCAGTACCTTTTTGGCAGCAATTACAGCCTCAAGTCTTTCTAGATATGATGCAACAATCTTGGCACACCTGGATTGGGGGATATTCTGCCATTCTTCCTTGCAAATCCTCTCATACGTCAGTGGACAGACATTTTCAGGTCCCTTCAGAGATGTTCAATAGGGTTCAAGTCAGGGCTCTGGCTGGGCCACTCCAAGACATTGACAAAGTTGTCCCTAATCCACTCCTGGGTTGTCTTGGCTGTTTGCTTAGGATTGTTGTCATGTTGTAAAGTGAACCTTTGGCTCAGTCTGAGGTCCTGAGTGATGTGGAATAGATTTTCATTGAGGATATCCCTTTACTTTGCTCCATTCAGCTTTCCCCAAACCCTGACCAGTCTCCCAGTCCTTGCTGCTGAAAAACACCCCCACAGCATGATGCTGCCACCACCATGCTTCACAGTTGGGATGGTATTGGGCAGGTGATGAGCAGTGCCTGGTTTCCTCCAGACATAACATTTAGAATTGAGACCAAACAGTTCAATCTTGGTTGTATCGGACCAGAGAATCTTGTTCCTCACAGTCTGAGAGTCCTTCGGGTGCTTTTTTGAAAACTCCAAATGGGCTTTTATGTGTTTTGCATTGAGGAGAGGCTTCCATCTAGCCACTCTGCCAGAAAGCTCCAATTGATGGTGGGCTGCAGTGATGTCCCATCTCCACACAGGAACTCTGGAGCTCAGTCAGAGAGACCATTGGGTTTTCTCTCCCGATTGCTCAGTTTGACCAGGAGACCAGCTCTTGGAAGTTTAGCCAAACTTCTTCCATTTGAGAATTATGGAGGCCACTGTGCTCTTAGGAACTTTCAGTGCAGCAGAAATTTTATTATAGCCTTCTCCAGATCTATGCCATGCAATAATCTTGTCTCTGAGCTCTGCAGGCAGTTCCTTTGACCTAAGATTTTTGCTCTGCTTCAGTATGCATTGTCAGCTGTGAAGCCTGCTATAGAGGTATGTGCCTTTCCAAATCATGTCCAAGCAATATAATTTACCACAGGTGGACTTTAATCAAGGTATAGAAATGTGTCAGCAATGATCAAGAGAAATGGGAGGAACCTGAGCTAAATTTCAAGTCTTTTTGCAAAGGGTCTGAATACTTAAGCCAATGTGATATTTCAGCTTTTTTCTTTTTAATAAATTTACAGACATTTCTAAGACTATATTTTTACTTTGTCATTATTGGGTACTGTGTGTAGATTAATGGGAAAAAATGAATGTCAACTGTAGAATCAGGCTGCAGCATAACAAAATTGACAAAAGTGAAGGGGGTATGGATGCTTTCTGAATGCATTGTATGTGATACAACATACCCCTTTATGGATTACTGCCTTGTCATGGCGAAGGGGCTTGCGTAACTCAATGAAGCTAAAAGCTATGCCATGCAGGGCCACCCAAGATGGACAGGGTATAGCAGAGAGTTCTGACAAAATGTGATCCACTGGAGAAGGAAATGGCAAACCACTCCAGTATCTTTGCCATGAAAACCCTATGGACAGTACTAAAAGGCAAAAAGATATGACCCTGGAAGATGAGCCCCTCAGGTCAGAAGGTGTCCAATATGCTACTGGGGAAGAGCAGAGGGCTAGTACTAGTAGCGCCAGAAAGAATGAAGCGACTGGGCCAAAGCCGAAAGGACGCTCAGCTGTGGATATATCTGGTGGTGAAAGGAAAGTCCGATGCTGTAAAGATTTTTTCTCCATAGGAACCTGGAATGTAAGATCCATGAATCAAGGCAAGCTAGACGTAGTCAAAAAAGAGATGACAAGACTGAACATCGACATCTTAGGAATCAGCGAACTAAAATGGACAGGAATGGGTGAATTTAACTCAGATGACCATCAGGTATACTACTGTGGGCAAGAATCCCTCAGAAGAAATGGAGTAGCCTTCATAGTCAATAAAAGAATAGGAAAAGCAATACTGGGATACAATCCCCAAAATGACAGAATGATCTCAATTCGAATCCAAGGCAAACCATTCAATATCACAGTAGTCCAAATCTATGCCCCAACCACTGGTGCTGAAGAGGATGAAATTGACCAGTTTTATGAAGCCCTACAGCACCTTATAGAATTAACACCAAAAAATGATGTCCTTATCATCATGGGGGATTGGAATGCTAAGGTAGGAAGCCAAAAGATAACCGGAATAACAGGCAAGTTTGGCCTTGGAGTACAAAATGAAGCAGGGCACAGGCTAATAGAATTTTGTCAAGAGAATACGATGGTCATAACAAACACTCTTTTCCAGCAACCCAAGAGACGGCTCTACACATGGACATCACCAGACGGTCAACATAGAAATCAGATTGACTATGTGCTCTGCAGCCAAAGATGGAGAAGCTCTATACAGTCAGTAAAAACAAGACCAGGAGCTGACTGTGGCTCAGATCATGAGCTTCTCGTTGCAAAATTTAGGCTTAAATTGAAAAAAGTAGGGAAAAGCACTAGGCCACTCAGGTATGAACTAAATCATATTCCTGATGAATATACAGTAGAGGTGACAAATAGATTTAAGGAATTAGATCTGATAGACAGAGTGCCTGAAGAACTATGGATGGAAGTTCGCAACATTGTACAAGAGGTAGCAACTAAAACCATCCCAAAGAAAAAGAAATGCAAGAAAGCAAAATGGCTGTCTGAGGAAGCTTTGCAAATAGCTGAGGAAAGAAGGGAAGCGAAAGGCAAAGGAGAAAGAGAAAGATACACCCAATTGAATGCAGAATTCCAGAGAGTAGCTAGAAGAGATAAGAATGCCTTCTTAAATGAACAGTGCAAAGAAATAGAAGAAAACAACAGAATAGGGAGGACCAGAGATCTCTTCAAGAAAATTGGAGATATGAAGGGAACGTTTCATGCAAAGATGGGCATGATAAAGGACCAAAATGGCAGAGACCTAACAGAGGCAGAAGAGATTAAGAAGAGATGGCAAAACTACACAGAAGAACTATACAAGAATGAGCTTAACATCCCAGATAACCACAATGAGATGGTCACTGACCTCGAACCAGACATCCTAGAATGTGAAGTGAAATGGGCCTTAGAAAATCTGAGCAACAACAAAGCTAGTGGAGGTGACAGTATTCCAGCTGAGCTATTCAAAATCTTAAAAGACGATGCAGTAAAAGTGCTACACTCAATTTGCCAGCAAATTTGGAAAACTCAACAGTGGCCACAGGATTGGAAAAGGTCAGTTTACATTCCAATTCCAAAGAAAGGCAATGCCAAAGAATGTTCAAACTATCGCACCATTGCACTCATTTCACATGCTAGTAAAGTTATGCTTAAAATCCTACAAGCTAGACTCCAGCAGTATGTGGATCGAGAACTACCAGAAGTACAGGCAGGATTTCGAAGAGGCAGAGGAACTAGAGATCAAATTGCCAACATACGCTGGATCATGGAGAAAGCTAGGGAGTTCCAGAAAAACATCTACTTCTGCTTCATTGACTATGCAAAAGCCTTTGATTGTGTGGATCACAACAAATTGTGGCAAGTTCTTAAAGAGATGGGAGTACCAGACCATCTCATTTGTCTCTTGAGAAACCTATATGCGGGTCAAGAAGCAACAGTGAGAACTGGACACGGAACCACTGATTGGTTCAAAATTGGAAAAGGAGTCCGGCAAGGCTGTATGATATGCAGATGATACCACTCTAATGGCAGAAAGTGAAGAGGAACTAAAGAGCCTCTTGATGCGGGTGAAGAAGGAGAGTGCAAAAGTAGGCTTGAAACTCAACATTAAGAAAACCAAAATCATGGCATCCGGCCCTCTCAATTCCTGGCAAATAGATGGGGAAGAAATGGAGGTAGTGACAGATTTTATTTTTCTGGGCTCAAAGATCACCTCAGATGGGGATTGCAGCCAAGAAATTAAAAGACGCTTGCTCCTGGGGAGGAAAGCTATGGCAAATCTAAACAGCATTCTAAAAAGCAGAGACATCACCCTGCCAACAAAAGTGCGTATAGTCCAGGCCATGGTTTTCCCAGTTGCAATGTATGGCTGTGAAAGTTGGACCATAAGAAAGGCTGAGCGCAAAAGAATTGAGGCCTTTGAACTATGGTGCTGGAGAAGACTCCTGCGAGTCCCTTGGACTGCAAGGCGTTCAAACCGGTCAGTCCTAGAAGAGATCAACCCCGACTGCTCTTTAGAAGGCCAGATCCTGAAGTTGAAACTCAAATACTTTGGCCACCTAATGAGAAGGAAGGACTCACTGGAGAAGGGCCTAATGCTGGGAAAGATTGAGGGCAATAGAAGAAGGGGACGACAGAGAATGAGATGGCTGGATGGAGTCATTGAAGCAGTAGGTGTGAACTTAAATGGACTCCAGAAGATGGTAGAGGACAGGAAGACCTGGAGGAACGTTGTCCATGGGGTCGCGATGGGTCGGACATGACTTCGCAATTAACAACAACAACAACATTGGAGACAATACACTTCCTTTCTTAAGACTGAAACTGAGTGAATGGCATATGTCATCAGCTACTTTTATGCCTGACTAGAAGTTCCTAGGCTACCTGCCTCACCCACTACACCAAACTGGCACCCCTAGAGAGTTTGCTACAAAAGAAATTGGCTGTTTTTTCCTCACCTTATTCTCTGTTGCTCCTGGGTCCTTCTCCAGAGGCAAACTTTGTTCCCTAGTGTATTCTCCTGGTATTTAAAGCTTCCCCTCACCCCTTCTCCCAAATTTTCTCTTGCCTTCATGTTAATAGTTGCCATTCAAACTAGCCACACTTGATTTCTCAAAGAACTGGCAGCATAATATGTCCCCATTTGGTTTGCTGAATAGATTAGATTTCTGGAAGAGAGGTTTGGACACAGCATATCTTACCTTATCTGACCATAAAAATCAGCCATTTCTGTTTCTGGCATCAGTTCTTCTTTTCAGTAACTATTGGGGTGGGGGGAGGATGAGGAAAAAATATCTCTGCTAGAGAGAAGTTCCCTGAGTCCAAAAGCTTGAAAGATTAACCCTCTGCTCCCAGTGACTGACCCAGGTGAGATCCTACAACATTATCCTGGGACACGTATATATATCTTCATTCGAAAAAATAACTGTCCAAGGCTTTTGCAGACTTCATGATGTAGGGATCTTGGCTGCCAAAACTATTTCTTTATTAACAGACGAGCAGTTATGCTTTAATCGCAAATCTTATGAGAAACTGAAGTTAAGAATAACCAGATTTGAAAATGACAAAGAAGATGTCTTGTTAGAAATCTTGGCCTAAATAAGAGATCAAACTCAGTTGATTTCAAATATTTTAACTCTTTGAGAGAGTCTGTGTTGAGTATTATCTACAATCTTTGCTTGGCTAGATATGCCGTTGAAATATAAGCATTGAAGAGTATGGCCCAGATCTTCTAACAGCCACCTGCAAATTTAGGAGCCTTAAGAAATGCAGTGGTTGAACCAACAATTCATTTTTATCAAAAATTTAAACGTAAGATGGAAGTATTAGCTATATATCTGAATTTTGGTATGAAGAATTGGACTATCTAGTTTTGGAGACTCAGTGGTTTCAAGTGTTAAGAAATGTCAAATATACTCATGACCTAAACATGACATTAACTGCTCAGGAAATATTATTTTTCCTTATTGGACCCCATGAAAGTATATCAAGACTCATTCATAGCGTATATAGGCACAAGGCCTTCCATCAGTATTTCTCATATAAAGGCAATGTAATGTATATATAATGTATATAAAGGCTATGTAGCACTTGGAGGAAGAATAACTTTATTATGATCATAGACCAGCAATAGCCATCACTTTTTACAATATAATAATAGTAATAATAGTAATAATACTAATAATAATAATAATAATAATAGACAAAATGCCAAATCCAGTCTGAACATCTGGCTGACTGTGCGATGATCCATAAATAGTACTAACATTAATAATAAATAATGGACTTCCGGTGGATCAAGCAGCTACGATGGCTGCTTTTCACAAAGCAGCCTGTTCCTGGGTTGTGTAAAAGCCGCGGGACTTTGACAATCAGCTGTCCTGCGGCTTGAATCTCTTCCCTGGGAGAAAGGGAAGAGAAGAGCTGCTCAGATAGAGGTAAGAGCTCCCCTGGTTCCCTATAATTTCGGGGATTGGAGGGTAGAGCTCCCTCGGAGCCTGAGCCAACTCCGCACTCCAGGACGTCTTTGTCCCGAAGTTCTGGGATGAAGCAAGGCGCCACTCCCACATCTGCTTTTTTTGGAGGCTTGTGAGTATTCAAATGCAGACGGAGCAGACCAGGAGAAAGGGGATTTAAGATTGATTGTGACTTTAACTCCTGCAAGCATCTTCTCCGCCTTTTTTTTGTTTACTTTCCCTTTTGAAGAAAGGGAAAGTGAAAGCAAAATGGTGACTGTCTTTCTTGTTTGACTTTGCAACAAAGTTAAAAGTTCATGTTTTAAATATAGAGGCAAGAATTTTGTTCTTCTTTCTTTCTTTCTTTTTATTATTATTTAAAGAACTGTGATATTATAGAGGCAAGAATTTTGCTCCTTTGAACTTAACAGAATGGCTTCGAAATGTTTGGTCTCTGTCCCTAAAGCTTCCATCTCCTCCCCAATGACTCAGCCTGCTTCTCAGTCTAAACCAAAATCACCCCCACCCTCTCCTCCTCCTGCAATCTCTCTCAAAGACTTACAAGAGGCTTTAAAAATGACTGCTTTGGATATTAAAGAGGAGGTAAAAGATCTTATAATTGCAGAGAGGGCTATTACAGAAGAATTATTGGAGAAAAAGAACAAGCAAGTCAGAGAAGACATATTATTTGCGTTTTCAGGTCTTGCCCTGCATATTGAAAGGATTGACGATAAAATGGAAGAGATTACTGAAAATGCAACAAAACTGGAATTTAGAATGGAGGAAGTAGAGAATAAAATAGAAGTTACACAGGATGAACAAACTATTTCACAATACAGAGAAATGGAGTTCACATTGCGTATCCGGGGATTGAAAGAAAATTCCCAGGAAGATTTGAAGATGCTTATTGTTAGAGATATTGCTTTGAATTTTGGATGGAAACCAGAAGTAGCTGGGAATGAGATAGAAAAAAATTTCAGAGTCAACTCACGGGTTGCCAGACAGAGAAATTTACCAAGAGATGTGGTTATTTACTTTTCCAGAAGATCTATTCGTAATGAAATTATACAGGGTTTTTATAAAAAGAGGTTTCAAATTGCAGCTCAAGTTGTGATAATTTTAAAAGAAATGCCTCCAAAAATTTTAAGAGGTAGAAAAGATTTTACTTTTCTATCTGATGAGTTAAAACGTCGTCAAATCCAGTTCAGATGGGAGATTCCAAGAGGAATAGTAGTGAATTATGATGGGATACATTACAGATTAACTACAGTTTTAAAGGCAAGAGATTTCTATCACTCTATTTTAAAGGCAAGACCGTCTTCACCTCCACAAACAAGGATAATTGTTATGGCAGGAGCTTCCTCATTGATGGTCATGGAACAAGCGGTGTTGCCTGTACAGAATCTTGAGATAAAAGATCAAAGGATGACACGAGGTGCCCATAAACGCAAAGAAAAAGAGCAGCAGCAGAAGAGTGGCGATAAAGTAGAAGGAATGGTTACTACAGAGCCTGTGGGAGGGGCAAGACCTAAAAGATCTTTGACAGTTGATCTTCAGGCTATGCTTCAAAGGCTTCAGGCCGGTGTAGATGGCCAAGTTCCTGACCTAGAATGTTTTTTGTTTTTTTTATAAATTTTTATTTTTAACCAACAAGACAAAACAAAACAAAGCAAAACATAACACACATACACACACAATATATACTCCTCCTTTTTTTACAGCAATTACATAACAGTAATCTAATATTTACATTTTCCCCTTATTCTTCTTTAAATATTTGTCTTTATAGCCCCATTATTTCTTATTTACATTTTTCTTCCTTCAAGTTCTATTTCTTAGAATAATTCATATTATTATTATTATACATTATTGTACACATATTTTCACTTTTGACCTTTCCATATTTATTCTCCTCTATTATTTCTAGTCTCCAACCAGACATACACCTTGTTCCATACTATATAATACTCTGTGTCTTCCTTTTCTTTTATCTCTTTTGTTAATTTGTCCATCTCAGCACAGTCCAGGATTTTTCTTATTACTTCTTCCTCTGATGGTATATTCTCATTTTTCCAGCACTGTGCATATGCTATTCTTGCCGCCGTTATTATATGTAAAATTAAGTACCATATTTCTTTACTATATTTTCTATTTAAAATACCCAACAAAAAGATCTCTGGTTTCCAGTCTACAGGTTGGTCTATTATTTCTTGGATCCATTTTCTTATTGTAGACCAGTATTTTTTTGCAACTGGGCATGTCCACCATAGATGATAATATGTTCCATGTACTTTTTTACATTTCCAACATGTTGGCGAATTATTCTGGAACATCTTGGCAAGCTTTGCAGGTGGAAGATGCCATCTGTAAAACATTTTCAACTGGTTTTCCTTGAATGCCACCGACATAGTCAATTTTATATTTATTTCCCATATTTTTTCCCATTTCTCCAATTCTATATTATATCCGAAATTTTTTGCCCATCTAATCATTGTGTCTTTGACAACCTCGTCTTCCATTTTATATCTCAATAGGTATTTGTATAAATTGCTAATTAATTTTATTTCTGTTCCATGTATAATTTTATCCAATTCTTGCGGCTCTTTTTGGATTTCATATAATTTTTTGTCCTCTGTATATTTAGATTGAATTTGTGTAAATGTCCACCAATCAATCTCTCTGCCAATGTCTTGTTCCAATTCTTGTTTTGTTTTCAAATTTCCCTGTTCATTTACTAATTCCTTGTATCTAATTATCTTATTTATATCCATAGGTTTGGGTATTTCAGAGCTTCTGTTGGGAATAACCACATTGGAATTCTTGTATAATGTTTTTGTTTTATTTTTTCCCAAGTCTGTAGCAATGCATTCCTAACTATGTGTCTTTGAAAATATCTGTGTATTTTATGTTTTTCGTCCCATAGGAATGCATGCCACCCTGCTTGCAAATCATTTCCTTCTATTGTTAAGACTCTAATATTTTTCAAATCCATCCAATCTTTTAGCCAAGTTAAGCTTGATGCTTGATAGTATATTTCCCACTCTGGTAACGCCAATCCCCCTTTATCTTTCGTGTCTTGCAAAAGTTTTAATTTAATCCTGGGTTTTTTCCTTTGCCATATAAATTTAGTGATCAATTTATTTAATTCTTGAAAGAATGTTTTCCCTAATTTTATTGGAATAACCTGGAACAGAAATAATATTTTTGGCAATACATTCATTTTGACCGTAGCGGTCCTCTCTAAAAATGAAATTTGCAAATTTTCCCAATTTTCTAAATCTTTTTTTATCTGGTGTAGTATTTTATCATAATTGTCCTCCTTAATCGAGGAGCATTTCGCTGTAAGCCAGATCCCTAAGTATTTTATTTTCTTGGTTATACTTATCTTTGTTTTATCTTCCAATTCCCTTTCTTCTGCCTTTGTAAGATTTTTTGTTATTAATTTGGATTTATTCCTATTAATCTTAAGTCCGGCTACCTCGCCAAATTCTTCTATTTTTTGAATCAATTTAAAGCCAGTTTCTAATGGATCTT